CAATCAATAGTTGCCATTTATCAGTTTTACCAATTCATTTATAATAACGTCGGAAACATATGATGGGCAAATTAAGAAGAAAAAACAAAAATACCAAGCGATCAATACACATAGATCACATTAAATATGTACATATAGTAGGATAAACAGTGAAGTGAAATGACGATAGGAAGGCATGAAATATGACTTGGCACGTATTTCGAATAGAACCAATATATTAGAACAATCAATAAATCAAAACAGATCAATATAGGAGTGGTAAATATATGGCATAATCACTATAATGTCTAAATTTTGATTGATAAGCTAATATTTAAATAATTCCAATAATATCATAATAATTTGCTTGAATTTTGCAAATATTGATTCGTTTAAATCCACATCAAGAACGATCATATAAATTACATTAATAAATTAAAATAATGTTGATTAGTAGACCAGATATGACGAGATGTTAGAATCTTCACCTAGTACCCTTTTGATTCAGGATTTTTTGTGTTTGTCACGACGATCCTTGGCGCGTCTGAAAAAAATTGAGATTACTTTGCAATAATCACATTTTTTAACATTAAGAACGACACATTTGTCTGTCTTACTGCAATCGCACACTACGTACCAAATTCTAAGAGCAGATATCAAACATTAGGTGCTTCGTGATAAGTTTTGCAAGGGTTTTCTAGAATTAAAGCGAAGCTTTTAGATGAAACGTGCAGAGTGATTTACTGGCGTGCTATCATTATTCTTAATCGTAATAGAATGTAGTTTTTTGAAAAAAAAAACATATTATATTTATTAACAGCAGAAACAACTTTAAAACTCTTCTTTTATGAGTTTTTATGAAAAAAAAAGGGTTCTAAAAGGAGCATATTTTATCAGCAAAAGCTAGTATTCTGAGATGGAATTACTTGATTTGTATAGTATTTGATGCGACTCAAATACGCGCGGCTAATCTAAGCTTCCAAAAAAAAGCAGAATTAGTTTGACTTTCTCCTAAACCTTATGCTCTATTTAGATACATTTTTGTTGAGTCGCTTACGATGGAAAC